TAATTTGTTTTTGTTCACGCATGTATGCCCGCTTGAGCTCCTTTATCTGCTCCCGTTTCTGCTCCTTGGTCAAGTGATCATTTGCCTTAGCATAGATGGGCTTATCAGCTATCATCTCCTTGAGATTTGGCGTCGCTAACTCGTTATGTATAAATTGGGGATAGTATTTGCGTACATGAAACTTTCTCTCCAATTCGTCATAGTCGATATTACGAATGAAATCTTCATCTGTCGGTGCTCCCGACGAGTTTAATGAAAGCTTATTAATTCCTTTGCTAATGATGGTCGACGTCATATTAAAAATATACTATTTTTGCTATACAAAACCAATAGGTAATTCGAATCTTCACTTGAAATTTATATAGAAATCATCAAAATATATATATGCGGCAGAGGGGAATTGTGGAGAACTTTTTTTTTCGTTCATTCAATACACGTGAGGATTTCTTTAGCAGTAATTCGTTCACTACCCTGATAAACCATCATCCTGTCAAAGATATGTAGCATGTTAGGGTTATCACATCGCGGCAATAGCTTGTCACTTGGTACCCGGGGCTTCTCTACGAATTTGAAACTGTTAAAATGACTCAGTGGTCGATTAGCATCAGGCCAATAGAGTCGCTTATCAGAAGCATCAGTCGTCAGGGGAGTACCAAAGTTCAGAAATATGGAACTGATAAGCGTCAAGTCGTGGAAGTTTCCTTCCTCATCGATGCATGATTTTCCTGTTGCTGAATACAACAATGTGAGCATAATACCCAACGACCAGATGTCGATGGCTTGCGTGTAGTCAGCCATGCCAAAACACAACTCAGGCGCCTTGAATATGCCGGTGGATACATCTGTATACTTGGAGTCCATAGGCTCATCAGAAGGTGGATCTCTTGTATTGTATATAATGCCGAAGTCACCAAGAACAGGAGGCGAGTCTTCAGACTCGAAATACACGTTTGATGGCTTAATATCGCGGTGTATTAGACCTTCGTCGTCATGGAGGTACCTGAGGGTGCTGGCTAACGTGGAAATGATGTTCTCTACTTTCCTTGTTGGAAATTCGTTGCGATAGTGGATTATATTGTTGGTAGGATCATCGAGGTTAAACTTGACCCGCTTCTTGGTACATCTTTTGATCCATTGGTCTAGATCGAACTGATAACATGGTGTTACTAATATTATATCATCGCCATGTGTGTACAGGTTTATGAATTGTAGTACTCCTTTATTGTGTATTCTCTGTAGTGTGGTGATCTCCCGCCTTATGTCGTGGGGTTTCATACATAAATCAACATCCACCACCTTCAATGCCACTATATTTTGGCTTTCCCGGTCAATTGCTTTGTACACGATTGCATTAGGTCCGCTATATATTGTCTCCTTAGTACCGTATTGGTTCATTAGGCAATTACACTCTGAGGAAAGAGTAGTAACTTTTTATTGAATTATGATTTATGTGTCGCGCAGGGCATCGATTTACTATCATGGAAACTACAGTATTATACGACTATGGATATTTTGTGCAAGTATATGTACAAACAGCCCATAAAGCAACTCTTGTTATAAACAGCGTACTGATATATTTAAAATTAGCCTATACATGAAAGATGCTTTAATTTGCTCTAGTCATCATGCAAAAAAAAAGCCTTGAAAGAAGTGTAAACTTTCTTCAGATTTCCCCTTCTAATTACTACAGATCTTCTGAATCAGTTGTGCTTTCACTATATTAAATATGGACGATCCAAAGCTTGTAGTCCAATACTAATTCATATTATCAATCTTACCTCTGTCTCTTTCTTGTCATGTTGTCATCATAGCCATGTCTTTTGTTGTTAACATGTTGCAGGTTTGATACAATATCGTTTTCATGAGTATATATTCTTCTCTTTGGGTATTTTTGGCTTAATCCTTCAAAGGCATTTTCACTTATCTTGGGCAACTCTAAAAAGAACGCATGAGTTAGCGCATCGTCAGCAGTTATCCGTATAGTTGGATCATACTCTAACAAGCACTTTAGCAAATTTAAGCATTGTTTGCTGGTTCTTCCAATAAGCTTATACCAGCTAGTTAAGTTTGGTGGATAAGTATTTGAGAAATGTTGTTGAAATGCTGAATACTCGGGGTATTTAGTGATTGTTGGCCAATTCTTAGTTGTAGGAGTCCCTAATATTTCAACGATTTTTTGTAACTGATTCTTTTGAAATGGAACCAGTTTCTTATTATTAATGTCTATTTTTGCTTCCTCTCCTTTAAAGATTGGTCGCAATGATAACAATTCGGCTAATATACATCCTACAGCCCACAAATCTATTGAAGGCGTATAATGTCTAGCACCCAATAATAATTCAGGAGCTCTATACCAAATGGTCACAACCACTTTATCTCCGGTGTAGAGACTTTGCAAAGGGTTGTTAAATTTTCTTGCCAAACCCAAGTCACCGATCTTCACCACACCTGAACTTGAAACCATGATATTGGCAGGCTTTAAATCTCTATGAAATATCCAGTTCTTGTGTAAGAACGTTACACCGTTTAATATTTGCCACGTTATTGACTTGATAGTAAAGTCTGGTATTGGTTTAACGTCTGGATGCGAATGATACTGAATAATTTGCAATAAATCATGTTCACAATATTCAAATACCATATAGATGGATTTATTCTCTAGCAATATATCAATAACCTTGGTTATATTTTTATTACTTAGTTCCCGACATAGGGACATTTCTCGGATAGCTGATTGCGATATACCAGTATAATGAATAACTTCATTCCCGTTGATATCGTGATTATTCTTATTCAGATGATTGTCACTTTTGAATTTCTTTATAGCAAATAGTTGATTTTTATCTTCCATCAGTTCATTGTTTGTTTTTTGGAGACCTGTCTCCTTCTGACCGTTTCCTATGCTTATCACATTATCATTCATCAATGCAGAATTGGAATTCAGATTTCCATTTGTTTTCGATTTAGCTTTATAAACTTTTCCATACGTTCCTGCTGCGATATAACCAATTATCTGGTACTTGGTTAGTACAGATTCTCTTATTAAATCTTTCCTATGTTTATACGGTCCGATAGTTAATATAGCATTCAGTGCCATCAAGGCTGGCTGAGGAATCGTTGGGACGCCATTTTTTGTTCTATTCGAATGCGATGTTATATGATTTGCATTTCCTGGATTATAAGCTGAATTCATAGTATTATTTCTTGGGTTATTATTGTAATTATTTTATCCCAGTTGTGTTTCTATGGCACTAAGTGTATTCTCTATATAGGTAAAGCTGTGATGAACCATTTTTCCGGTAGTGCGCATATACGCTTCCCTACATTTAAAAGCTTTCAATTATTATTTTGCATTAAATCATCTATTATTTAAACATATTTAGTGTCATATTATAAACAACGTATTAATATCTCTTGTTAAAACGTCTGTAGCTCAGTGATATACTCTATCGTCACCTTTACCTTCTAATTTACCTCTAATTTCTTCCATCTTTTGTGTTTGTTCGTTCCACACTTTGACTTCTTCCTCCTTCTTATTATCCCTAACAAACAAGTTGTCATCAGGTCTTCTGTACGATCTTCCTAATCTATCCCACAAGGTGGTAAATTGACCATAATTGTAGTTGAAATATAAATGGTGAATAGTATGGCAAGCGGTACCATTGACTACTGGATCATTTGACAAGTATTGACCATCGTGAATCATGACTGTCCAGAAGTTAACAAAGGTGAAAAGGAGCAAGTAAGACACTTTGTGTAATGGAAAAATCATTGGGTATATGTGATATGGAAGAGATTGGGCCCAGCCATCAACTGGGTGGAAAGCGTGGGATGCAAAAGGAGTGCAAACAATCCATTTATGGTGAGGTTTATGCAATATTTTGTAGACAGATGGCCAATGTAACCATCTATGAATAAAATAAATTCCACAGTCAGTAAACAAAATGAACAGTGGCACCTGTAACAATATAGCTTTCCAGCCTCCCGTAGATGCGTTTACTTCCATATATAATTTCGAAAACCCTTGCAATTCCATTAAGAAGAATGGAACCGTTAACAACACCATTATCGGGATAGCAGTACTAGCCCTATGTATCTCCAACCAAATTTGATTTTTCAAGTATCTTGGGTGATTAAATATCTTCTTGTCAAAAACTGTAAGATACGACATATAGGCCACACTAAAATATAACAACCACCCAAAGACAGCAGTTACTATAAAAATAGAAAACGCTTGTCTGAAAATATTCGTTCTTAAAAGTAACGAATCATTGGTGTAGTCGTTAAGTGGAAACAATTTTGGAACTTCACCGTATACCTCATCGGTATTCTGAAAAGTTTGCAATTTATTCATTAATGCCCTCAATGGCACGTTTAAGTTCGAGGTGACCGACGCAGATGTTACCGTGCTATTATGGTTTTCATTGTAATTCTTATAGAACGAAGAAGTTAATTCATTTACACCTAATTTGCCGATAGAATCCGAAATAGTGGTATTCAACGACTTTGGTAACAACGACGAATACGTCTTATCTAAAAGATAATAGTCAAAAATCTCTAGCACAATATCCATAGGTAATAAACTTGTATTTTAAACTATAGTTTGCAGAATTGCTAGTGAAAGTGTGTCAGTATCTCTAGTAGTTAGCGAAATAAAATCGTCTGTTATTTTAAATAGAATATATATTTCACGTCCCTCGTTTAGAAAAAATTTAAACGACAGGAACGATGTCAAAAAAAAAGAAACATTCTAAAGCGTCCGATAATCGGGTGCAATATTTACATAGCGCAACAAAGAATATGAGCCAATTATATATTATGGAGTGATTACTTAGCCTTCTCATGATCTATAAGATGATCATAGAATGATAATAGAATGATAATATACACTTTTTTGTAGAAATATGAACAGGAAAAAATAAATGATGGCATTGTAATATTATGTGGCCCAAATGTAGTAGCATTTTAGCGGATTTTGTCGTGACTTCTCTTCATACTCGTTAATTATTAGTAGTTATAGGTGTTATTGGCTGAGGAGTGGAGGTATTCGACGATGGAGGTTGATTGATTCTTTCAAAATTTATGCTATTTAAGATTTCTCTACCTCCTTTGGCGGATAATAAATCTCCAACTTTGATACCGATGGCATCAGCATCATCTTTGTTGTTGACAACACCCTTGTATTCATCTTCGACGGAAAGAGTCCCATCAGGACTAACTATTATTGCTTTCAAAGATAATTCGTTAGTAGATTCATTATAATGCGACTGGACTCCGATTGGAACGGAACACCCCCCTTCAAGATGTCTCATTAAAGCCCTCTCAGCAAGACAGCAGTAGGTGGTAGGTAAATGCTCTATGGTTTTCAACAATTGAAGTATTTTTTCGTCGCCCTTTCTGATTTCAATTCCCAACGCACCTTGACCCACGGCATAGTACATCTCGGGAGCGTCCAAGTGAGCGGTGATTCTATCACCTAATCCAATTCTTATCAACCCAGCGGACGCTAATAACAAACATTCGAAAGGTGAGTTTTCGTCGTCCAATTTATTCAACCTGGTTTGAAGATTACCTCTGACGGACTCGAATCTCAACTTGGGGTGGTTCTTCAATAATTGCGATGACCTCCTAACGGACGATGTGCCCACTAATGACCCATCAGGCAAATCAGCCAACGACTTATACGAAGATCCGCTTTTCATAACTAATGCATCTCTGGCGTCTTCTCTGTTTAATATGCATCCGAGTTCGAATTCCTCGGGTAAATTAGTTGGTATATCTTTCAACGAATGAACAATCAAATCCAACCGTGGATACTCTTCAACTTGCTCTAATAACAAAATTTCCAATTCCTTGGTCCACAAAGCTTTTCCTCCGAATGAATATAATGGTTTGGTTTGCACCTTGTCTCCCAAGGTACTTAATGCTAGGACAGAGCAGCTCAACTCTGGAAATTTTTCAACGATAAGCTCCTTCACTATCTCTGACTGTACCACCGCCAATTTGGATTTCCGTCCTCCTATCTGGACATGGTTGTCTTTTATGTTCAATGTGTTATCCATACTCTTTGTATTGTGAGGCATCTGTAAAACTTCTGTCTATTCTATGTACATGCAAATTGGAATAACCCGGAATAGTATAATCAAAAATGGTTCTTATCAAATTATCAATACTATCTTCCCAATTTTATTTTTTCCAATTTCCTCGAAATACAATAACTAATATATATGCCTAGAAATATGCCTAGACTTATACTCCATCCAGTAATAATACTCTTATGATAATAGATCAATCCGAAAATTTTTTGAAAAAAGTAAATGACACAAAGCCCGAGTTCAACCGAGCCATTTTCTCAGCAAATGACCGTCCTTTAAATTGTAATCATCAGCGTTAAATCACGGAATGAATGATTTTGACGTATCGGTCTTCAGATGATGGTGAAGTTTGGCAAGAAACGCTAGTTCGTTATCCTTATATGTCGTTATATGGTTATATATTGCATAGTATAATCTCTACGTAAAAATGAATATATAACATGCCTCGGAGATACCTCGGATGCAACAAGCATGTGCATATTGGTAAAATCAATATGTATCGTCAGATTCTACTTCGGTTGAGGTATCCACTTCGTCATCTTCACCTGCATCTGCCTCTTCGTGAGACATATTGAGCAGTTCCATATCGTCTAGAGAAACTTCGTTGATTCTGTAGATTTCTCCGAAATTAGTGTCTTGAGTATCCCCTCTGATGACTGAACTGGAATCATTCTCTTCTACTTCTTGAATTATGCTTTGATCGTCGTACAATTGTTGAGGAAATGCATGCGCGGTTTCATCCTGATCATGCTGCTGGTTTACAAGCATGTCTACTAAAATTTCGAGCTTATTAAGCTTGGTCATTATTTCATTGTTAACGTTCTTCTTTCTTTTTTTGATCTTCTTACCTGAGGTAGCCCTAAAGTTGGCATTAGGAGTAGGGTTGTTCATGCTCATTAACGACTTTCGGTCGGTGAGCCATTTGGATTGTTGCGATGCCGACAATTTGGTGCTCACCTCATTATTACTGGCCTTGGCAATTTCCAAGCCCAGATGGACGGGCGTCTGGGCAATAACATTACCAGTGCCGCCGTATTTTTTCGAGAGTATCTCATCGATGATGAATGAGTCTGTCGATGCACTTCTAAGGTTTCCAAATGTGCCTATGGATTTAGCGGGTGCAAGATTGTTAAATAAATGAGAAGTTGCGTGGTTTGCGTTATCGACGGAACTGATCTTTCTACCTGGTACGGCTTGGAACGTTGAATTATTTCTAGTCTTCACTAACATTAAGCTTACATCTGTGTCATCATCAATTGAATCCATATTAACCAAATCTTGATCTTGATAATAATCTTGCTCCTTATTTAAAAATGTAAACTGCTTTAAATTATTATGCCCTTTCTTTGAATTAATATTTGCAACAATTAATTCATAAATAAAGATTATTAATATAATTGGGAACTTGAATAAGTTCATAAACATGTACAAGATACCGACAGTTGTGAATCTGTTGCTCTTGCCGTAAAAACCATTCTCATAAAATATATCTGAAGTCTGAAAATAAACCACTAAATTCGTAGATTTGAAATATGCAAATTCTTCCTTGTTGGATAGAGATACTTTGGAAAATACCTGACTTAGCACAATAGCTAAAATGGTAGCTATAATGAACTGACTTAAAAACAAATACCCCATCTGAATTGCTCGACCTAAATTATTATAGCTGTCCCAATTACTCCAAACAGCAGGTGTAAACCCAAAAAAGACCTTTAGCATATCAAATGCAATTTCGTAGCTATTACGATCAATTGCTAACGAGATAAACGTCAAGTAAAAGCCACTAATCAATGATATAAATAAAAAAAATAAGCCAATTAGTTTCCAGAGCATTTTCTTTAAAGATTGTGTGATCATATTAAAAAATTCATAATTGTTGAATACCGATAAAATTCTAGGCAATAAGACTATTGAAATCAAACTAAAAGCATCGTGGTAATCTTCGGTGCCCACTTTATTTAAAAGCGAAAAAATTCTTAAGGCAAAGGCAGAATCGATTAATAAGATTAGAATCAAGTCAGCATAGGTCCATATTATTTTCCTTAGGAATTTAAAATTAATATTCTTGAGTTTGATGAAAAGCTCAAAATTGAAATTAAAAGCTAATAACCAATATAAGAGTTCAGTTATTTTCATAAACGTGTTGCTGGGATCACTGTACCATTTTGTATGCTTTTGCTTCAAAATTAATATAAAATGCAATGTGGCAAAAAAGATCAACTTCATATTCATTACAAGGGATTGATATTTCGGAACTATGTTTGCTCTCGTGGTTATCTTATGCAAGGATAGTTTTTTGAATGTATAATTTATAACGGCGTTTTCACTTTTGTCGTTTAACAATGCTGTTTGCTCTTCTAAGTTCTTGAACATTGAATTTACATCTAACAAAGATTGAACGATTGACTCGTTAATAAGGTCGTTGTTTCTCTTGACAATTAATTCTCCTTCATAAAATCTATCCAATATTTGCTCAATCACAGGTTGAGAAAGAAACTTCTTGGACTTTGATAATACCGCCAACTCGAGAGTATTGTACGATGATATCCGGGAAGGAAATTTATCCTGGAAATGATCATCCCGCATAGGATTTGTGAACAATAAATTAATACGATCATATGCCTTATATTCTCTCAACATTCTAATTGCTAGTATTTCACATATTGTTGCTTTAGTATTCAATATATCGTATTTAATTAAATTATTCTCTGCCTGGATAGTAAATTCAAATCTTAAGAGCAATAATATACAAACCAAATTAATTGACAATTTCAGGTCTCCATTAATATCATGATTGTAGTTTGTATTTGTTTGCGGGCCAAACCTCGGGGTTTGATAGGGTGAAACTGTAGGCAAAGAATTAATAACTCTACTAATTTTCTTCGATAAATTACTAATTGAAGCTATCTCCACAATTTTCGAGGCCAATGGCTTCATTAATGTTGAATGAACCCCTGGAGATTTCAATTGTTCATATTTCAAGCTCAAGATTACCCTCTTATGAATTAGTTTTTGAATCTTAAAATAAAGATACTTAAATTCCAAATGCTTAGCTTTTGTCTTGCTGGTGCTGTTCTGTTGATTCAAGCTGGGATGAGCATTATTTTGTGCAAATGTGCTGGGTATTCTACCTCTCATATTGAAGACCCAGTCCAAGATACAGCAGAGAGTTAATCTGATTTAATAATGAGCTTATTAGCGATTTAATAGAATAATTATTTATAGTATATGTATTAACTAATTTTGTCTAATAAATTGTTTTAACGGCCTATTTAGCAACAAGATTCCAAATTTCGCAGTTTGTAAACAAACAGTCACGTGAATTCCTTTAATTATAGACTTACTTTACCGAATGATGAATGAATTTGTAAGCTTTCTTACCATTCTCTATGCCTATTATATCTGTTAAGTCATCCTCGGATAAGTTGACTAATTGTTCAATCGACTGAACTTTTTCAACAATCTGATAATAATTAATATTGTTGATTCCAGGAATATTTTGAATCAAGTCGATCGCATTATCGTTGTAGAGAGGAGGTTCACCATTACTTATCTTTATCGATTGATTAACACCTTTAGAAACAGCAGCACTGATGTCAGGTTCTTCCTGGTTGGCCTTCAACTCTAGAAAAATTTGTGCTGTTTCGTACGGCGAAGACGACCAAATAATCTTTAGTTTTGGAAATGAAATTAACAACATTATCAACTTTGATTGAATGTCTTGTTGTTGTAACTTTGTTGCAATTGGATTTGTAGCATTAACCTTATAGTTTCTTAAATCAGAAAAGGGTTCGAATGAGAAAGATTTACTTTCGTCAAATTCAATGAGCAAAGTTGGTAACTCATAATGCCGGAACATTTGTTCACACTGGCTGTATAATCTGCCGCTCTTAAAACTCGATATCAAATCAGGGATTGCTTTCCTTTCTATACAAATCTTAGGAGAAACAATGTAGTCACCAACAGTAATCATACACGGAACGACTTTTATGCCAACTCGATATAGTAAATTCGGAAGCGAGGAACGAAACTCTCTAACATCAACAACAACTCTCATTTCATCTTCCTCTGTTCTAAACTTTGCACCCCCAGCAATTCTTGTGTTAGCAATTTGGTTTCTCTTTAGTTGAAATTTGTTGTTATCCTCTGCTGATTGGAAATGCTTACCCAAGGTTGCCTTTTCTCGAATTAACTTAGTAAATGCATCTTTCTCCTTCTTAATTCTCATCAAGTGTTTCTGCTCTTCAACTGAGGTGCCATAGTACATAAAATAAGTCTTAGCAGGAGATTCTTTGTTTACAGCCTGATATATTTCCACGCGTCTAATAAACGACAAATTTGGTTCATACATAATGATATACGCCGGTGAAACTTCCTGGAGCAATGAATCATTCGTCTTATCATTATATGTCTCAATAATAATTTGATCGTCCTTATCAATATTTTCAAAAATAATTTCGCTTGGTCTGTACTCTAACACGTCATTTAGATCGTCTAGGTCCTGGATATCCACTGTTTGATCTTGCCCTCGCTCCTCGTCAATTAGGAATCCCCCCGCATCGTCATCAGAACTAAAATCGCCACTTTCAGTGTTATCCTCGAGCTGGTTCTCGTTTACGTCTTCTCTAAGTTTATTCACAATAGCAGTGTCAAGCTCAACGGCTTCATTATTACTTCCTTTCGTAGACCCCGAATACAATCTGCCAACATTTGCTACCGATGATGCGCCTCTGGTTCGTCTTCTTTTACTTAAAGGATATCCTTTCCCTCTAGAGAATGTTTTGGAGGTCTGTAGCTCCTCTTCAGGAGTAGCTGCCCTTTCGGACTCGTTACCTTCCGGGGCTTCCTCTTGCTTTTTCATATCAAGTTCAGAATTAAGTTTTCGTGTTAATGATGTGAACTCCTTCCATTCAAGATAATCATTTAACTTGGTCACCATAAATTTCCTTCCACTAAATCTTTTTCTTCTTGAATCTGAACTAGTAATG